ATTTAAATTATCGTATTAAATTAATTCCAAACCAAACAGGAAGGGGACTCTTGTAGCAAAATGTCATTTGACCATGAAGTACTTTATTTTTTAAGAAAATTTACCTTGCAACAACTAGAGGACCACGGAGGAGTAAACTTGAGGCAAAGATGGAATTAGCACTCACTGACTGCAATCTTAGTAAATGTAGCTCAGTACAAATTAAACATAGTTGTTGTGGCATGTTTGATACATGCCTTGTTGACATATCATGGTTTCTACCCCTCCACCCCACCTCTTGTCTTTCCCTCTCCTGTCTTTCCCAATGCATGGCTGTTACAAGCAGTGGCATAAGTATTAACTCCATTGAATACTTTTTGTGTGACGCAGGTTTAGAAACTCAAAATTGTATACAGAATGGATGAGCTCATTAGCGCTTTTGTCACCTGGCAGAAATTTTGCAGTTTTTGAAAGACAATTTCTCCTCAAATGTTACACCCAAAGAGCCAAAAATTTCTCTAGTGACTAAGCTTCACAAGCTCGTTAATGTTTGTAGTCAATTCATGTGTAGTGTAATGCCTTCTCTGCGCAAAGTCATATGTTAACGAGGATAAATGTAAACAATGACCTCAGCGAAGTCTCTTATTGTGGTCAAGGATCACACTAGCGACCCTGTGGCTCTTCATTTTTTAGATCCAAGATAGCCGTGTCAGCATCCTCTTGGTTGGACGACTACTTCAGCTGGGTAGCACCCAACGGTCAAGCCAGTTGCTGTCGTATGAAGTACATGAAGAATGAAACATGCTTCTCATCAACAGTCAAGCCACCTGGTGGTAATTCAACAACGCCTGTGCCTAAAATGATCTGTTACAACAAAACGTTGCCTGTCTCACCTCATGTATTCTGTAATGCAACAGGTTAGTTACTGTACTTGTACATGTACATGTATGCTACTGTACTCTTTAAATTGGTCTACATTTAGAAAATGCATCATTAACTGAGCAATATCATGAGCGATATCAGCCATGTATTGTAGTCATCTCTTGTTGACCAAGATTACTCTGGATCATACTGTACTGGAGACTATTTGTCCTTGATCTTTTTTGCGAGACCCTCACACTAGTTAATTCTTGATATATTTTGTACAGTACTGCTCAGAAGTAACCCAACAGGAAGTGCTTAACAGAGCACATTCTATTTTTGTTCCATGTATGTTTCTCTACCTGTTCCATTTCTGCTCACTGTAACTGTTATGTTCCTACATGTATTCCTCTCCTTTCTGTTGGCATCCTATATATTTACATTCTTGTATATGCTCCATATCTGTTCCATATCCTTTTTATGTCCATTCTGTACTCATTTGTGAACACATTCCCTGTTAGGTTACTTGCAAGTGGTACTGTATACATTGTATGCACATGTGTCTGAGTTGTTGCCTGGACATATTCCATTCCCGTACTTTAAACAATAGTTTATTTAATAAGTGTGTGTTATTTTATAATTGCAGTTGATGATCCATTGTGTTTACCATGTCTTAATGCAAGCCAGAAGGGAGAAAGACCTACTCCAGAGCAGTTTGATAAATACCTGCCTTTTTATCTCAAAGACAACCCAGAGACAAAATGCACCAAAGGGTGAGAGAAAAACCATAAGACTTGAACAATGTCGTCATGTGACTACAACTATCAGAATTTATTTCATTTTCCCTTCATTAATTAACTTTTGAAGTCACAGTGGGGCCTAAATAACAATTACCCCAATTAGCATGAGAAAAGGAAAAAGCGAAGGATTCTGCTTAGTACATGTAATAATGATTAACAACAGCTAAGCAAAGCCGACAAGGTTTCAAACAAGAGCCCATGAATTTCATTACAGTGTACATTGTACTTGTACGTCACCCGTGATGGGCTGCCTTAGTGTCCTTCATGCTCTTCTCAGTCTGAACAATGTTTGAATTTAAGTGTTATCTGATTGAACATTGTAATAAATTATTCACCAGGGGTTTCATGAACATTTTCATTTCGAGGGCAACTGGTTTTCACAGGCGACCAAAACTATATTTGAACTGAACTTCTTTGTAAGAAAAGCTTTCCACTAGATGGTGAAACCAGACGGGCAAACTCCTCACAGCCGGTCAATTTGCCCGGTGCTCGGCCCTTAGTGAAACCCCAGATTTACTCTTCCATTTTTTTTTTGTCTTGTTTTTGTTTCTCAGTGGCCATGCAGCTTATGGACACGCCCTTCAGTTAGGTGGCC